AAGGGTGCAAAAGTAATCATTCAGGGGAGAGTGTGTTTTGCATTGGGTCTTTTCCTGGGCTGGGGATATACGGTGCTAGCCTCTTTCATGATGCTGGGTGCCATCAGTGAGCCATGGCCCCCAGTCCACCATGTGATCTTGGGGGGATTAACTGGCTCTCTACAGTGTGTGGTGCTGCTGAGCTAGGGGGTTCGGGAGGTCAGACGGATTCCATGCTCTATCGACTTGGGAGATTTCCAGCTTCAGGTGGGTTTCCTGGATGTTTCCCCACTCTAAGCTGAGGCATTTGTACTTCCTACAATTGAATAGAGACAACCTACAGGTCTTGCCCAGGGACACGAGCTGGTTAGTGACTAAGCAGAAAGTTGGACCCACGTCCCATGTATCCTAAGAGGCACATTTTTCTTCCTCCCTATCAATTGTCCTCCCTTCTGGGGCCTGGCTTCTTTGTCGTGAATATATAGCACTGAATGATTGTACCCTGAAGTTTATCATGACCTTGGAGGCATGCCCGGTCTGCCTCCAGACAGAGGTGGTACAGGATACCTGGGCTATACAGTGTCAGTCTGCCACATGTAGGGACAGTGTGGTGCTGCGCAGACCAAAACGGATCACAGAAAGATAGCCTTGAAGAGAAGCCATCCAAGTGACATCCTGGGAGTCAAGGAGAGGGTGAGCTGTGTGGCCGGGCTTAGCAGGAGTATGAGATCTGGGATAATCTCCTGCTAGAAGAAAAGCAACCAACTGCCGTGAAAACCCTTGAAAGACACTATTTGAGGCTTCTCAAAGGGGTGTTACTTCCCCATCTCACAGGTCCAGAGACCAAGTTGCTCAGAGTCACACAACTCGTCCTTGGTCAGTGGAAGGATTGGCTTTGAAACCCTGCTGTCTCAGGCTCTGGAAAGTTCCTTGCTCCACAATGTAGCACAATCTCTAAATAGAACCGAACACTCTAGAACCTTGGATGGGAGGTGAGAAATGATACCAGGAGAATAAAGAATGAGCGGGAGGTGGAATGAACAGTAGAAGGTTTCTGGCCCAGGGAGCAGGGCCCAGGACCTGCCAGAGGATGACTAGTTGGGGCAGCAGGAGGCATGGAAAGCCGAACCCCCCAGCCAGACAGCTGACTCAGGGAGAGGGGAAGGCACTGGGCCTGGGTGGGAAAGGACCTAGCTCACAACACAGCACAAAAGCAATGTACTACTGTTTTCATTCTCAAGTCCTTGAGCTTTGCCTCCCCACTCCCTTTAGAAAAAAGATTTATTTCTACTTTCTATGGAAATATTAATTTCTTGGCAATCTGATGTCTTAGATGTGGAAAAAGAAAGTGGGTACAGTGGACCAGCCGCATGGCTCAAAGGAACATGCAGTGGTGCTGACCATGACGTGCCTCTGACACCTGATCTGATAAAGGGGGAAGCTGAGCAGGAGGAGGACTAAGCCTCCCAAGGAGAGAGCATGGGGCTGGCCCCCGCGAGCCACGGTGCCTTTGAGCAGTGGATGTCCCGGCCCTCAGTGTCCCCACCTGTAGAGGGGGACTGGTTCCGACCCTCTCTGTGGTCTCTCGTATCTTCATGCTTCTCCACCATAGACCTGGGAGCAAGGCAGAGTGCGTTTAGAAGAAGGACAGCGACCAGGAGTCCTTCAGGAGATGACAAAATAATTGAATAATGTAAACTTGTCTTGGAGACTTAACTGTATGTATTTCTGACCTTGAGATTTTCTTGCACGTGAGAGCCTGGTAGATAGCCCACCATCCCTAAGTGCCAGGTGCCCATTTGGAACATCAGGAGGATGGGACACATCTCCCAGTGGGTACGAGTGTAGATGAAGAGAACTTGCATGGTACCTGGTGACATTCCTATAAACGTCCCCTGTGCTCTCAATGGGCAGGGGAGCAACCAGACTGGAGTTTAACTAATTCCAAATTCATCAAGTAGCTATTGAGCACCCCAGTGTGATCCCCCCACCTCCATGCCTTTACACAACTGTTCCCACGTGACACTGAAACCACGTGGAGCAGAGATGCTGCTACTCAGTGGCCAGGGATTGGCTTCAGCTCTTCAGTGGAAGAACTGACATTGGAACCTGGGTCTGCTGAACCCAACCCCATAGCTGCATATCGGGGCGGATGGGAGAGCTCAGGCTTAGGGGTCGCTCCTGGGAGCCCCCGTATTTTTTGGAGTCATACATGATACATCCTCATGTTCTTGGGACCTAGTGCAAGGGGCCTCTTGCCCTGCGTGCTGGACAGAAGGAACCACATCACCATGCCCTGTGCAGGGAGTCTCTCAGCTGCCTGCCGTGGCCATTCAAGGCTCTGGCATGAGTGTGCTTCCCTGGGCTTCAGTTCTTCACGTGCCCACTGGCCCCTGGGAGTGGGCGAGTGCATTATTTTATGTCTCAGTCAGGAATGAATCAAGGAGTCACCTGACTTC